GGAGGAGGAGGAGGAGGAGGAGGAGGAGGAGAGGAGAAGAGGGGAGGCTGGAAGGAAGAAGAGGAAGGCAAGGGGCAGGAGGGGTAGCAGGGGAAAGGAGGAAAAGGAGGAGGAGGAGGAGGGAGGGAGAGGAGAGGAGGGGAGGAGGGGAGGAGGAGGAGGAGGAGGAGGAGGAGGAGAAGGAGGAGGAGGGGCAGGAGGGGAGGAGGAGGAAGAGGAGGAGGAGGGGAGGGGAGGGGAGGGGGAGGGGGGGAGAGAAGCGACGCGACGCGAAGCGAAGCGAAGCGAAGCGAAGCGAAGCGAAGCGAAGCGAAGCGAAGCGAAGGGGAAGAGAAGAGAAGAGAAGAGAAGAGAAGAGAAGAGAAGAGAAGAGAAGAGAAGAGAAGAGAAGAGAAGAGAAGAGAAGAGAAGAGAAGAGAAGATAAGAGAAGAGAAGAGAAAGAGAAGAGAAGAGAAGAGAAGAGAAGAGAAGAGAAGAGAAGAGAAGAGAAGAGAAGAGAAGAGAAGAGAAGAGAAGAGAAGAGAAGAGAAGAGAAGAGAAGAGAAGAGAAGAGAAGAGACGATAAGAGAAGAGAAGAGAAGAGAAGAGACGAGAAGAGAAGATAAGAGACGATAAGTGAAGAGAAGAGACGAGAAGAGAAGAGAAGAGAAGAGAACCGAAGCGAAGCGAAGCGAAGCGAAGCGAAGAGACGAGACGAGAAGAGACGAGAAGAGAAGAGAAGAGAAGAGAAGAGAAGAGAAGAGAAGAGAAGAGAAGAGAAGAGAAGAGAAGAGAAGAGAAGAGAAGAGAAGAGAAGAGAAGAGAAGAGAAGAGAAGAGAATAGAAGAGAAGAGAAGAGAAGAGAAGAGAAGAGAAGAGAAGAGAAGAGAAGAGAAGAGAAGAGAAGAGAAGAGAAGAGAAGAGAAGAGAGGAGAAGAGAAGAGAAGAGAAGAGAAGAGAAGAGAAGAGAAGAAAAGAGAAGAGAAGAGAAGAGAAGAGAAGAGAAGAGAAGAGAAGAGAAGAGAAGAGAAGAGAAGAGAAGAGAAGAGAAGAGAAGAGAAGAGAAGAGAAGAGAAGAGAAGAGAAGAGAAGAGAAGAGAAGAGACGAGACGAGACGAGACGAGACGAGAGGAGAAGAGAAGAGAAGAGAAGAGAAGAGAAGAGAAGAGAAGAGAAGAGAAGAGAAGAGAAGAGAAGAGAGGAGAAGGGAAGAGAAGAAGAGACGAGAAGAGAAGAGAAGAGACGAGAAGGGAAGAGAAGAGAAGAGAAGAGAAGAGAAGAGAAAAGAAGAGAAGAGAAGAGAGGAGATGATAAGAGAAAAGACGAGAAGAAAAGAGAAGAGAATGTATGCGATGAAAAGAGAAGAGAAGAGAAGAGAAGAGAAGAGAAGAGAAGAGAAGAGAAGGGAAGGGAAGGGAAGGGAGGAGAAGAGAAGATAGTAGAAGAGAAGAGAAGAGAAGAGATTAGAAGAGAAGAGAAGATAAGAGAAGAGAAGAGAAGAGAAGAGAGGAGAAGGGAAGAGACGAGAAGAGAAGAGAAGAGACGAGAAGTGAAGAAAGAGAACAGAAGAGAAGAGAAGAGAAGAGAAGAGAAGAGAAGAGAAGCGAAGAGAAGAGAAGAGACGAGACGAGACGAGAAGAGAAGAGAAGAGACGATACGAGAAGAGAAGAGAAGAGAAGAGAAGAAAAGAGAAGAAAAGAGAAGAGAAGAAACGACGACAAGAGAAGAGAAGAGATTAGAAGAGAAGAGAAGAGAAGAGACGAAACGAAACGAGACGAGACGAGACGAGACGAGAAGAGAAGAGGAGAGGAGAGGAGAGGAAAGACGAGAAGCGAAGCGAAGCAAAGCGAAGCGAAGCGAAGCGAAGCGAAGAGACGAGAAGAGAAGAGAAGAGAAGAGAAGAGAAGAGAAGAGAAGAGAAGAGAAGAGAAGAGAAGAGAAGAGAAGAGAAGAGAGAAGATGATAAGAGAAGAGACGAGAAGAAAAGAGAAGAGAATGTATGCGATGAAAAGAGAAGAGAAGAGAAGAGAAGAGAAGAGAAGAGAAGAGAAGAGAAGAGAAGAGAAGAGAAGAGAAGGGAAGGGAAGGGAGGAGAAGAGAAGATAATAGAAGAGAAGATATGAGAAGAGATGAGAAGAGAAGATAAGATAAGAGAAGAGAAGAGAAGAGAAGAGAAGAGAAGGGACGGGAAGAGAAGAGACGATAAGAGAAGAGAAGAGTAGAGGAAAGCAGAGCAGAACAGAGTATAGCAGAATAGAGTAGCGTCGAGTAGATCAGAGCATAGCAGAATAGAGTAGCGTAGAGTAGAGTAGGGTAGAGTAGAAGAGAAGAGAAGAGATGAGAAGAGAAGGTATGAGAAGAGCAGAGCAGAGCATAGCAGAGAAGCGAAGAGAAGAGAGGAGACGAGAAGAGAAGAGAGGTGAGGAGAGGAGAGGAGAGGAGAAGAGAAGAGGATACAAGAGAAAAACAGATAATATATGATAAGAGAAGGGACGCGAAGAGACGAGAAGCGAGGAGGAGAGGAGAAGAGAGGAGAGAACAGAGGAGAAGAGAAGAGGAGAGGGGAGAAGAGAAGAGAAGGAAGGGAAGAGAAGAGAAGAGAGGCAACTATAAGAAAAGATACCATAAGAGAGGGTACGAGAAGAGAAGAGACGATACGAGAAGAGAAGAGGAGAGAAGAGACGAGACGAGAAGACCAGAGAAGCGAAGATAAGAGAAGAGAAGGGAAGATAAGAGACGAAAGGCTACGATATGATAAGAGAAGAGAAGAGAGGAGGAAGAGGAGAGAAGAGACGAGAAAAGAAGAGAAGATGAGATATTACATTCGAAGCGAAAGGAAGAGAAGAGGAGACGGGACGTGGAAAGACGCGAAGAGAAGAGAAGCGAAAGAAGAAAAGTGAAGAGAAGAGCAGCGAAACGACGAGAAAAAAAGAGAAGCGAAAGAGGAGAAGTGAAGAGAAGAGAAGAGATGATAAGAGAAGAGAAGAGACGATAAGACAAGAGAAGAGAAGCGGAGAAGGAGAGCAGATAATAGACGATAAGATGCGATAAAAGAGCAGAAGAGAAGAGAAGAGAAGAGAGGAGAGGAGAGGAGAGGAGAAGAGAAGCGAAGCGAAGAGAAGAGAAGATAAGATAAGAGGCGCGACGAGAAGATAAGAGAAGATAATAGAATAGAAAAAAGAAGGGAGGAGAGAAGTTAAGGGCGAAGATAAGGGAAGAGGAGAGAAGAGAAGAGACGAGAAGAGAAGAGAAGAGAAGATACGAGGAGGCGAGAGGAAAAGAAAAGAGAAGAGAAGAGAAGAGACGAGAAGAGAAGAGAAGAGAAGAGACGAAACGAGACGAGACGAGAAGAGAAGAGACGAGAAGAGAAGAGAAGAGGAGAGGAGAGGAGAGACGAGCAGAGAAGAGAAGAGAAGAGAAGATAAGAAAAGAGAGGAGAGGAGAAGAGCGGAGAGGAGAAGAGACGAGATGAGACGAGAAGAGAAGAGAAGAGAAGAGAAGCGAAGCGAAGCGAAGCGAAGCGAAGAGACGAGAAGAGAAGCGAAGAGAAGAGAAGAGAGGATAAGAGAAGAGAGAGAAGGAAGAGGAGAGGAGGAAGGCCGGGAAGAAGAGGATGACGAGGGCTAGAAGGGAAGGAGGGGGAGGAGAGGGGAGGAGGAGGAGGAGGAGGAGGAGGAACGAGCAGGAGGAGAAGGGGGGGAGGGGACGGCGAGAAGAAGAGGAAGACGAGGGGGCAGGAGGGGGAGGGAGGGAGAAGGAGGAGAAGGAGGAGGAGGCGGAGGAGGAGGAGGGGGAGAGGAGGAGGAGGAGGACGAGGAGGAGGACGAGGAGAGGAGGGGAGGAGGAGGAGGAGGAGGAGAGAGGAGGGGAGGACAGGAGGAGGGGAGGACGGGAGGAAGGCAGGAAGGAGAAGAAGAAGAAGACGAGGGGTAGGAGGAGAGGAGGGGTAAGAGAGGGGAGAGAGAGGAGGAGAACGAGGAGGAGGAGGAGAACGAGGAGGAGGAGGAGGAAAAGGAAGAGAAGGAGAAGAGGAAGAAGAGGAAGGAAGAGGAGAGGAGAGGAGAGGAGAGGAGAGGAGGGAGAGGAGAGGAGAGGAGAGGAGAGGAGAGGAGAGGAGAGGAGAGGAGAGTGAGAGGAGAGGAGAGGAGAGGAGAGGAGAGGAGAGGAGAGGAGGGAAGGGGAGAGGAGACGGAGAGAAGAGGAGAGGAGAAGAGAGGAGAGGAGAGGAGAGGAGAGGAGAGGAGAGGAGAGAGGAGAGGAGAGGAGAGGAGAGGAGGGAAAGGGAGGGGGAGGGAGGGGAGAGAGAGAGGAGAGGAGAGGAGAGGGAGGAGAGGAGAGGAATGGAGAGGAGAGAAGAGGAGAGGAGAGGAGAGGAGAGGAGGAGAGAAGGAGGAGAGAGAGGAGAGGAGAGGAGAGGAGAGGGAGGGGAGGGAGGAGAGAGGAGAGAGAGGGAGAGGAGAGGAGAGGAGGAGGAGAGGGGAGGGGGAGCGGGAGGAAAGGAGAGGAGAGGAGAAGAGACGAGACGAGACGAGACGAGGTGAGGGGGAGAAAGCAGAGGAAGAGAAGGGAGAGGGAGGGGAGAGGGAGGGGAAGGAACGAGGGAACACGACGACGGCAACGACGACACCTCCAAATTCGAGTCCCTCGGCGACGACGACGACGACGAAGACGACGACGACGACGACGACGACGACGACGACGACGACGACGACGACGACGGCGGCCACGGCGGCGGCGGCGGCGGCGACGACGACGACGACGATGGCGGCGGCGGACGACAACGACGGCGGCGGCGGCGGTGGTCCCAGACATGCGACGTCCCGTTTTTCCAAGGTCCCCGAAGTCCCGACCCTCTTGTCGGGGCCGGCTTTTCACCGCGAGCCGTCCTCGACGGCCCCAGGGCCCGGCGAGGGCCCCCAGAGGCCGAAAGAGGCCAAGAACCTCCCGCCCTGAGACCTCCGCGACACGATCGTGCCTGGGGCGGCGGCGCCGCCGGCGGCGGCGAGGCTCTCGGTCGCGCCTTGGGCGGCGCGGACCAGCGGGTCTCGCACAGCTTCCCCGCCCGGACGGCCTCCTCGATGGACGCGCGGGAGGGCCCCTGGGCGAGGGGCGCCGCCAGGGCCTCTCGGGGGGGGCGGCGAGGCGACGAGGCAGCAGGGAGGGGGAGGCGGGAGGAGGAGCAACGGCGGGGAGGACATGGCGACCCCAGTCCCCGACGTTGGGGGGCCTGGGGCCGGACGAGGGCCCAACCCTGGGATGTACCATGGGGGGGGGCGTCCATCCTCGATGTGGGAAGCGCCCGAAGAGCCCCACTGGCGGCGTATCCCAGGCTTCCCCCACTTTTCCTGAACGGCCAGATTCTTCGGGCGGGAGGAAAAATCGCCTGCAGATGAGCAATTCGGGCGCGGCCTGACCGACCGCTTCCGTGACCAGCACCTTCCGTGACGTCACCCCCGCCTTCCGGGCTTCCCTCCGGCCGCAAGCGTGCGTCTTGGGCGGATTCGTGCCGTGACGGCCTGCACTTGAGGTTCTGCCACCGCGTGGGTTCTGAACGATCGTCGGTCGATCGTCAGATCGTTCCATGATGGCCGATTCTGCGCCGCTGGCGACGTTCAAACACGAACGCCCGCGCTGGGCTCGTCGCCGCGACGACACGACACGAACCTACCGCAGGGGTGAGGAGGAGCCAGCACGCAGATTGCAAGGGGTAGGTTGTCTCTGGAGACTGCCGCACTATGCAAGCAGTCTCGCCTCCTGCAACTCTCTCACGGCTTGAGCAAGGCACAGGGGCCGTTTCAAAACTACATCAGAAACATATGTTTCTTTCGGACGGCTGCTTTGAAAGGCTTTCTGTAATTGAAGGGCTCTAACATTTTTCGGGCACCTGAGGGCAGTCCATTCGAAAGCCGCTGGAACATGATTCGCCGAATGGGCCGCACCTACGGCACAAAAGGATACTGCGAGGAACCGCATCGTCGGCGTAGCCGAAGAAGTCTATATCGTGCCCACGTGGGCGGGCCAGCAGGTCAGCATGATGCGCGCAGTACCCAAGAAAGCACTCGCGCGCGCGCACCATGCATTCGTTCGCTGCCGCATCAGGCTCGACAGGCAGCGCAGATCCGGCGTTATCCTCAGTGTGCCGTCAGTGGGCCCTCAGGAGAAGCGGCAGCACCCGGAGGAAGGCGGGGGGCACCGCTCCCCAGGAGAGCCCTCCTGAAGCCGCCCCCTGTGGGCGGACTCAGAGGCTTATCGGGTCTGGCGAAGGTGAGGTCCTCGCCCCGTGCGCTGAGCTCACACCACGCAGCTCACGCCACACAGCTCACACCACATGGCGCGTACGACCATAGCCTGCACGATATAGCCTGCACCACCGCACAGCTTAAACCGCACAGCTTTCACCGTATAGCTTGCAACGCATAGATGCCAACCCCAGCTCACACCACATACCAGCCTTCGGTGCAACGGTGGGCCGCAGCTGGAGGGCCCCGGCAGCGTGTCGCGTGCATCTGCTCGGCGGCCTGCTGTCCTCGCGGGCTGGCACTGGCTCGGCAGTACTGAGCATCACCGTCTGAGCGGCAGCAGTCTTGGCATGTCTGTCTGCAGCTGCACTACCTGTAGCGTGCCACTCCTCCTGGCTGCCTCTCTCGAGGCTGCCCAAATCTGCGTGAGCCTTGGTTTTGTAAAGCCTTGGGCCCAGGGGGTTCGCACGGCCCCCGCCAGGACATCAAAGGTCGCGTAAGAGATGGTCCGAGCAACAAGCTTTTCTGATTCAAATCGATCGCTCCCTGGAGCCTGCAAATCCGAATTCAGTCCAGCAGCACGCACGGCACTGTTCTCAGGAGCAGGAGATGTCGCCATGATGGCCATCCACGGCCACCACAGCTTAGCCCGCAATGGTTGCATGCTCTTGTGCCCACCTAGTTTCAGGTAGCACAACCGCTCCTACGGCCGATACAATGACTACGACCGCGACAGCGACTGCCACCGTGGCAGCTGCGAGCTGACAACAAGGCTGCTCATGGTAATGCTCGGTGGCGAGGCGGGGGGGGAAGTCAGAGGGAGAAGACCCTCTCAAAGGCGGCGGAACGCCTCAGAAACCCTCGCGCCTTCCGAGGAATTTTCGGTGTCTTCGGGGAAGGCCCAGAAAACTTCTCAGAAGGCCCTGGGCCTTCCGAGCCTTCTGAGAAGGAAGTCCCGCCCCCGGGGCTCGCCGCCGAAATGCTGCTGACGAAGCCCTATAAACTATAAAGGTACCCATACCGCCACTCACCAGGATCTCGAGGCGAATCCGGCGGCGGCGTCGAGGGCTTGCCAGGAGGCCCCAAAGGGAGCAAACGAGTGAAGGGCAGAGGTGCGGGTACCTTTTCCTCCCCTGCTGCCCAGAGCACCTGCCTTGTCGGCCATGTCGAGCGCCCGCTGCTTCGCCTCGGCACGGCGTGCGAGCTCAGGCCCAGCCGAGCCACGCGCGGGCAAAGGCTGCGCGCCGCCTCGTCGCTCCCGCATGCCGCCCCCGGAAAGAC